CGCTGAAGTCCGTCATGGTTGCCCACCTGATGTGCGATGCCTCTGTGACGGTGGACTACTGCATCTGTGTGGTGTACGCGGCAGTATTCATCAATGGTGGAGAAATGACCCAATCGTTCAGTTATGTTCAGTAACCACAGCAGGATGGTGGCGGTGACGGCGGCGGTTTGTGCTCAGAGCAGAGGAGCGGATTGATGCACTCTTGGAAAATGTCTCCTCTCCCGGGGAAGCTGGCATCTAGGCAGTAGTGGTGAGCTTCTGGATGGTACGGTTGTAGTATTGAGTGGTGAGAGCCTCCAGGGGGCTCCAGTGGTGCGCATGCAGTTCAATGACCTCCATAAGGAGGGAGCGGGTCAGCTGGGATTCAGCCGGACAGAGCATCTTGTCTCTGACGGCCGCTAGCAGCTCGGTCATCATCTCTGGGAGCTGCTCCTCCAGGAGGCGCCCGGTGCTCTGCAACTGTGGAGGAGGAAGAAGTGAGGAGGAGGAGGAGGCGGCGGGTTAGAGGAACAGTGTGGGTTTTTTTCTCTGAACAATAAACACTGTGTCTGGATCTTTGATGCTGTAGCTACAATCAGACGGCTGAGGTCGACTGATCTGCTGTCAGACTGTTGACCAATCACAGCTCAGGAGAGTTGACTCCCGTTCATATTCAATCCTCTCCACTGGTAAAGTCTGAACACAGAGATGTTAATGCAGGCACGGGCAAACTAAGGCCCGGGGGCCGGATGCGGCCCGTCCAGCTTTTTAATCCGACCCACCAAACTTTTCCATATTATATAATTCATTTCTATTATCATTATACTTCTGCGTTTTCCCTGCAATACCCACGTTTCCCCAGTAGATGGCGTAGAAAATAATAAAAGCATTTTAGCCTTTATGCCTGACTTTTACGTCATTTATCTTAGTTCACACTAACGCTCCGTCTATTGGCTCCTGACGAAGACGACTGATCATGTGACAAATACAAACTTAAATCTTGATCTAAAATACTGCCCCCTATATGTAGGTTTTAAAACACCTGTTCTTTTAATAAAACATTCCGTGAATGTTAATGACCTGACACACTTTTCTTTCTCACATTTGGATTTAAAATAAAATGATTATTTTAACCAGTGTTAAAGCTAACATTTGAACTTGGTCCAGTTTAATATAAATCACAATATATTTCATGTATGGTAGGGGGTGACCCTGTCTATTGTCTGGACCCTCCCCCCCCCCCACTGTGGAATAATCACGACACTAAACTAATACAAGGTCATGATTGGTTATCAGTTCAAACGCCTGTCGCGCACAAATCAAGACCAAAAAAAAAATATTACAGTTTTGTGGTGCAGTAAACACACGCCGTCCAACTCTCCTGTGTGTGTGTGTGTGTGTGTGTGTGTGTGTGGGTGGGGTGTGGTGAGGAACACATACTTCCATGGAACAGCAGAGCACTGCATCTTCTTTTATATCCGTGGACTCCAGCAGCTACAAGAAAGTAGAGAAAACAAACTGTGTGAACACAGGGAACCACACACAACCACAGCAGAGGAAAAAAAAGAGAGAGAGGGAGGGAGGGCGGGCGGGGGCGGGGTCGAAATGTACAAGAGAGATCAAACATGTGCATATGTGTCTGCATTAAACCGACTCCAGCTGCGACTGTAAACATTTTCACATCCACATTGTCAAAATATCACACTCTAATCCTGCCGAGCCGCCTCTCTATTCCTTATCACAGAGGCCGGCTGTACGTCCACATGTACACGTGTGCTGTGTACAAATACTGGAGCTGGTAAACATCTCAGCCCCCCCCCCTTCGTTCCCCCTCCCTGCTGCTTGGCTTTAAGTGTCTGATTACACATTAGAACATGTGAGCAGCTCTGAGGACACTGGTCGCACATCTGCTTCCAACAGGCTACGTTTAATTAGCCCGAAATGAGTGAAGCAGCGGAGGAGTCGGGGGTTTTCCTCTGTACATCGAGGAATTTTTTGATTAATTTTTTAATCTGATCTCGCAAAATTTTCACCAAATCGTGAAATATAGCAAAAAATAAACTAAAAGACGTTATAAAATAATTGTACATTTTTGTCTTTTGTCGCTGGTAGCTTTGTTTACCTCAGCGTACTATTGGCTAATACAATGTGTACTTGGTGTACTATTGGCTAATTCAGCATGCTCTTCTGTTCCTTGTGCTGATTGGTTCACGCATCGTAGCATCTCTCAGCATCTCCCCTCGTCTGTCGGCCACTTTCTCGTTCACTTCACTCTGCGTCATCACTCTACTGTGGATGTAATTGTGTGGGAAAGGCTAATACAGTCTAGGGAGGGTCGATAAAGGTTCGTGAAGGGTAAATATATACGTCAGTAATGTTATAACTATCTCGCCTCTACTTTGCCATTTTTCCCATTTCACAGTGGGATACAACACCTACGACAGGAGAGGGATTACTACATTGGTGGTCCAGTCAAACCAGTACAGTTTCTAGTTTCAGTTGACATTCTCAGGGTGAACCCTGGGCCTGTTGAGTTGAACGCCACACAGATATACTTGCAGGACTTGAAGAGAGATGACAATCTTCAATAATAATAAGAATGAGTTGCTCATTGATGAACGTTGTGTGCACGTGCGTGACCACATCCACGTTTGAGATTTGTATTAGCTGTGAGTTAGGCTGTACGTGTGGACCAGGACCGGTGAAGTGTCCCAGTTACTGGACCACACCCTCACCTGATTCCTTCCAGACTCTGCTCAACCTTTTTTTTCCAATTTCTTTCTCAGTGACGTGACTTGATCTCGTGATCTCGTGATAGAGCCTGTTACTATATTTAAATCAGTGAATTTAACGACACAGTCCGAGGCTAGCATGCAGCGCCAGGTGTGTGAACATTTCATTCCTGTTGTTAAAGAACAATGGTAAACAAGCGGCGTCTTATTTCCACTGTGGGCTCACTGCATTCTACCTATTATTCAGAGGCAGCAGTTGCACAGGCGTCAGCGCCGCGGCAGACGGGTGTGGTGACAGTGTGGCTGTTTGATGTGGGAACGCCAGTCTTCAGACGCGGAGTGAGAGAGCAGCGGGACATGTACGATTAGTTCATAATGACTTCTCTGGGGAGCTGAGAGCGAAGATTTCAGTGGCTAAATTAGAAATGGTCTCATTGATACTTACTGTATCCGTCTCCGCTCTCTCTCTATCTGCTGTTACAGGGTTCGGGTGCGTCAGAGACACACCGTCTGATGCTGAGGTTATTAATCTTCCATGAAGACAACGTGTAAATCCTTTGAAACCCTCGTCTCTCAGATCTCTGAGTTGTTACATCATGAAGAAGTAAATGTGCTTCACTGGCGAAACTCAGGATTCTGTGTCATTTACAGTTACACCGGGGTCAGGAACATGAAAAGCTCGAAAAAGTAGGGCAACGCTGACCCTCCAGTACAGAACTGATGAGGAGCGCTGCCGAGGTTTCTCGGTGAAGTCGATAAGGAGCAGACGATTTTCTGCTGAGGTTTTCATCTCTCACTTTAACTGCATGACTTAAAGATGTTGATGTTTGTTTAATAAGCCGCAGCGCACAATGAAGACACGTCACTCATTAGAAAAATTAGGACCGCTTCCACTTGAACTGGCTTTCACATGGTTGCATGGTAACAGCAGGTCAGGAACAGCCTGGCCTTTAGTTACAGTCCATCACAATGCAGTTTTGTTACACATTTGAACAAAGGCTCACAACTAAAAAAATCTGTTTGCTTAATATTTGATTGAGGAATGTAATATTGTTCCAACCGTTATAAGGATTAATCACGATTAATTGAGATAAATCAACATTCCAAAATTTGACAAAAATGTCTGTCACACTTGCTAACTAATCCAAATGATAGAATTATCAATATAGAAAAAAGTTAAGAAAATTGTGCCACAATATAACTTTTAAAACTAACTAATCCAAATGATCGAATTATCAATATAGAAAAAAAGCTAAGAAAATTGTGCCACAATATAACTTTTAATCAATATTATATATATATTGTATTTTTTGAATGTTGTACTACTATACTATACTTCAACGGGGAATAGTCAGGACTTTCTAACAAAAGCATGTTATTTTTTAACATAGAGCTGTCAAGTTTTCAGTCTGATCAATCACACTCCTGTTTAATTAAACATTTAATTACGATTAATCACGATTAATTGGGATCAAACAAATTAATCACACTAAACAAACATTCCTACAAATATTGTTTCCTCTATTGCTGTAACAGACACAGGTGGATGTCTGTGTTTCACACTTGATTTTAATGGAAAATGTCCAGAGAATTATGCAGAAGTGTAACTAAAAAATGTTGCTTCATCGAGTTGGTGGATTTCGGTCATAACTGTGCCCTGACTTATGTAAGGCTGTGGCTGTGAGACTTTCACTCAGACCAATGATAAGTCGATGGATGCTGGAATCATTGGATAAAAATGATCATTTCAATCGGAAAAGAATCATAACCCTGTTAAAAAAAGGCTTGTTTTAACCTGAACCCGGCTCAGAGGACACGACTGGACCGGACTGGACTCAGGAGTCAGAGCATCTCATCCATGTTGTTCTGACAGATCAGACTGTTGATGCCTCGGTTGATTATGTTTGTGCTTCTAAATATAGTCGACGTAGGACGGTGGAGTGTGGGGACTCCAAAGGCGCTTCATAAATAGGTACTGATGTCACCAACGGACAGTATAAGGGCAGCTGGGCCGCAGTGTCCGACTGCAAGCCAATATCCTGATAAAGTCCTCAGTCGGCCACATAGTCTCCCGGTCATTTGCTCCAGCGTCGTACGGTTTCATGTTCTGGAAAAGTAATAAGTGATCTGGATCGTGTCCCTGATTTTCCTGGAATATCAGGCAGCGTGTGTCTGTGTGTGTGTGTGTGTGTGTCCTTAAGACTTCATCGGAGTGGGTATAATTAAGTACTATACTGTAGTGTAGTATAGTGTAGTATTTCTATACCGCTGCTCTTGGGGAAAGTAACCTCTGATTGGTAGGAATAGTTGGATCGTGTCTGTATAATGTGCTTTGTTTAGCTTGTCACTAAATTTAGATGTCAAGAAGTGAAACTGGTGTAACCATGGCAACATACTGAAACAGTAGCGAGCCCAGTGATCGAGCAGAAGAAAAAGGAAAACTTGAGGCACAGATGTGGCTAACACTTTAGCAGAGAAAAAAACGCCTTCATAAATAAGAGCTGTTTATAATGAAAATAAATAGGAGGAGTTAGAATATGACTATGTTAATATATTATATCCACAGATATATTAACAAGTATTGGTTTGTTTACACCTATAAATACTTTGATGCTTCCTCGTCCACTCTGTCTCAGGTGATTTGACGGTCGTCTGTCGTGACCCCTGGTCTCTGCTTCATTGTTGGCCAGTTCTGAAGTCTAGATGTCGTCAGAAAAGACTTCTACAGTTCTAGGGTTCCAAATCCCTGAGAACTTTCTTTCCAATTCTTATCATTTCTCCACGGCACTGTGCTTTTAGAAGCGTGTTCCGCTGTGGGCACTGTGCTTTTTTGGGGGGGAGGGGTTCCTTCTCACTTCGCTTCCAGTTTTGTGTCATGTGACTTGATTTTATTGTCCTTTGGAGGTGTCATCGACTGATGACATCTTTTTCTACATACCGGGGATGGTTCGATCCGATACTCGGTAATCGGTATCGGACCAATATTGATCAAAATTTCAGAATCAAACAACAACAAGATCAACTACAGCCCATCTGATCCGATACCTGAGCTAGAGGAGAAAGGAAGGTATCGGATTGACTCCAGGTTGCAGTATGGTACTGGACAAGTTGTATCGAGCCACCTTTACCACACATACCTTCATATCTAAAGGTCTCTAGACTAATCTGTCACTGATCTCAATGAGACTGTAAATTATATATTCAAAAGTTGACGTCCAACAACAACAGCAGCAGGTTTTTGTTGCTGTGATGAAACTGACACGGTTAAGAAATCTAAAAAAAAAGAAACAGGAAAAAAACCCTGGACTCCCCACAGCTCAGCTTCAGGGACAGATCGTTAGCTAACGTTCTGCCTGTACATACTGTATATATGCATGTGTGGAACCCGCAGGTCTGTTCCAGCATCAGTGTCTATAACAGTGTGTCTGTCATGAATCCATAAATCCACTGCCTGCACATACAGCTGTCATGTAACTGCCCTGAACAGTCACTTGTTAGCTGCTGCAGTACGACACAGTGTGGCGCTAACACATGCACGAAAACACAACAACAGTCCAACGCGGTCAGAGCTGGCGGCAGGAGTCTGACAGTTACACATTGTAGCAGAGAAGTCAACACGTACACACACACACACAGACACAGACACAGTGGCTGCGTGTGTGTGAGAAGGAACCAGAACCACACATTGAGACTCTGTTATCTTTGATATCGTTCGGTTCAATAACCTCAACAGTTCCCGCCTCCTGCCAGTTAACGCTGCAGACGCCCGACCGGCGTTCGTGTGTGTTTTGGCTGTCGACAGACTTCGATGTTGCCGAGGTAACCCTGGCAGACAGGGTGAGGACGGATTATTGTGTGTGTGCCATTGTTTTGGATAACGAGCGCTGGGTGTGTGCTGTGGGCCAGACAGCCAAAGGTGTGGACGCAGGTAGTAAATTTACGTGGCCTGGCCTCCAGACCTGCAGCTGTCTGTACCTGGTTCTCATAAAAAACACAGAAGAAATAACGTCTTTCTTTCTACCTGCCACACCAGGACTTCATGTCCTTCCTGTGCGCTAAGCGTCACCCTGACCACTGTCTCCTCCACTTCCTCCCACCATTACTTCCCATTACAATAATCCAGCATTGTGTTTTTTTTTTACCGCTTCTCTATTGTGGTGTCTGCTGCGGTGTGCAAGAGAGCATGACCAGCTGATGGGAAATAAACTTGGGGATCTCAATATATGTTTTCCTGGAACTGATCAAATCCAGACTGTAGACTGCATCTGTCCACAAAATAGAGGAAACTGCACGACCTCGTGTTTGGTTCTAACACGTCAGACAAAGGTGGAAATGTGGGTACGAACCTCACGTAGACACGTGTAGATGGGACACACCAGCACCCGGAACGGTTCTCCAGAGCTGCTCCTCATGGTGCCGAACACCTCGCACAAGAAGGTGATGAAGCCCAACCACTTCTCCACGTCAGACTGCTGGAGCTCTTCTCGATGGGAGAAGTCTCTCTGTGAGGGCAGCGAGAAAACGTCTCAGTTGGTGAAACTTTGCAGAAGTTCAATACAATTTTCACGTAGGTGGTAGGAACGTGAGTATTTCGGTGTTCAACAGACTCAGACAGAAGGCCGAGCGCATAATCATCTTTTATGTTTCATTTCTCTGCCAAATCTACGCTATCAAATCTATGCTTTTCTTCAATTCCTTCGACTACATCATTCTGCCAAATCTACGGGTATATACGGGTATATTTTCTTCAATTCCTTCGACTACATCATCATCGTGTTCAACAGAACAGGCCCAGGTTTCACACTGATTAAATAAACTGTGGATAGAATTGCAACTAGAACTTCATAAACATTTCATTGCATATACAGTACTTTTGGTACTTTTTTTTTCATATATATGCAGAGGCTCAGAACAGATTGTGAAACACTGCGACCCTGGACTTTATTTACCCATACTACTGTGGGGTGATTCAATAACACATTCATCCACGCTGTCAGAAACAATAACAGACATGTCGTATACGTTCAAGGACACCGCCACGCTGTTGGTGCTTGACTGACAATGGACTGGAAATGATGCACAAATAGCAAAGACGCAGACGAGGATGAGCGGAACGTTAACAAGAGCAGGGATCAGGTGAGGTGAGACGGCGACGGAGCCGCGTCAGAACGAACGGCACCAGAAAGAAACTGCATCCTTCAGTGGTAATGGGCTGTTTGTATGTTTTAATCAAAGCAACAACAACAACAAACCCTGGCGTCTGTCTTTTGACGAGCAGAGCGGTCACGTACTAATTACCCCCATGTTGAGATCCAGAGGTCTGGAAGTAAACTCATTAAAGATGGCCTTCATGGGCCCAATTATGACATTTACAATGTTCTAAAAGCAGAAAAGCCAAAATGTCAAACGCAAGCAGGGGGCCCTGCTGGCTGGGAACTGGGAGGTAGAGGGCGGAATAAAAGGCGTCGTGAGGCTGCGATGAAAGGAGCAAAACTGAAGAGTGGAAACTGGGTCCTAACATCTGAAGGAGGAGGCATTTAAATGATAAAAGTAAAAACAGAAGGGGGGACAAAAGGAGGAGAGGAAGGAAAAACAAACAAGAGGAAAAGATGGAGAAACGAGGGACAGCGGGGGGGGGGGGGGGGGTTAAATATTGAGTCTCTTAATGTCATCTGAAGATCACAGGTCTGTCCTGCTGCTGAGGTTGTCCCCCACCCACACTATGGTTAAAAGGACGAGTTCAGAGAAATGAAAGGCTGTAATGACTGAGTGAAGCTGTGAAGTACAAAGAGGAAGTCAGAATGTTGTAAGAAAAACTAAAAAAAAAAAAAAAGTTTTTTTTTTTTTTTCTAACTCTCTTCCATCTGAGTCTGAATAACAGTGTAACCAGCGTCTGTGTCTTTGTCCAAGAACTATAATCAAATTCTTTTCTAATGTTTGTGGCGAAAAGAAATTAGATGGAGTTCAAACAAAACCTGTAGTAAAAGCTAATAATATAAACAGGTTTACAATTAAGTTAGGTAAAAAAAAGGTAGTGTTTACTCGGATTTAAATGTTTTTATTTTTTATGTTTGAACCTGGGCTGTCTCGAGCCCAAATGATGGAAATTATGGCTTAAAAAAAAAGTTTTGTTTTTTTTTTAACTTCAAATAGATTTTTAAATCAAGGTATTGATAATTGATTGAGGACTTTTTTATTGTCTTAGAACATTTTGACTTAATTTTTTGTATTTCACAGCTTCACTCTGGTATTACATCATCACTTCAGACTCTCCCAGCGTGTGCTTCTCTAAAAGAAATTCAAAAGAAATAAATTGGATCTGATTATGTCATAAACACTAACTTTTATCTATAACGCTACCGAAAAATAGTTGGTGAAAAATGAAGTCGATAGTTGACTACTAATTGTTGAAACAATTTTCAAAGCACCAATAACCAAAGATAGAAATGAATGTCCCCAGCAGGTGAACTGGTGAACTGCACCTTGATCCCGACCAAAGACTGAAGCAGCACCAACGTTCTCACCTGCAGCATGTTGAGGAGCAGCGATCTGAACTTGGTTCCCTCCACCATGAACAGCGCCATCCTATCGCAGAGCGTGGCGGCCGTGGCAGCGAAGCTCCTGTCCGACACGGCGGTGGCGTAGATTGTGCTGACCACCTGGGTCAGGGACTCCTCAGAGCGGGCCGAGCATTGCGCTTCCTCCATGAAGGAGGTGAGCTGCCGCTCCACCCCGGTGCTGTTGCTCCTCATGCTGTTGAGGAGCTCCACCAGTCGATCCATGTTTCGAGACCTGCAGCCCGACGCGTTGACGTGTGCCTCCTCCTGTGGGGGGAGACGAGGGGGAATGTAGTCGACACATAAAAAAAAAACAAGGTCCACTGTGGAGATTCAGGTGACGTGATCGTTTTTGGCAGAATCAATTTGTAGGTACTGCAGAGGGAGTGTTTTTTATTTACTCCAGGAGTGGGCCTCCTCCATGACTTTAGTAAACCACGATATGTTCTTTGTAGGGTTAAAAAAAACCAAAAAAACACTTGGTCAAATGAAACAGAACACATGTCAAGTGTTGACCCTGATGTTGGTGACGCCTCACAGAGCTGCCATCTTATAACGACGAGGCTTCAAGATATGAGCTACACGAAATATGACTTTTCCAAGTTACGAGTCAGCAAGATTTTCCACGTGATACGAGCTAACATCGACTTGTAAGCGCTCAACCGAGCTTCAATTTTCCAAATCACACTGTTGCGGTCATTGTCTTTCGCTTGGTTATTTCACCCGTCACATATTTCTCGCTTTCCCTTTCTCTCTCTCTGTCTCTCTATCATCTAATGGAGTCCTCACCCCCAGTCCTTCTCCTACCTTAGTGGTCCTGACACTCGCTCACTGTCCCTCGTTGGGTTATTTTACCCATTTTTATAACAATAATATAAAATGTTTTCTTAATTATTAAAATTTTATATTATCAATATATTTGTTTATATTTATGTTTTTGATGTTTAGATGGGGGTGATTTTAATTTAATAATTAATAGTATATTTCTGCGGGGTTGGAACGAAGTAATTGTTTTTTAGTCTCTTTTTTAAAGGGGAAAATTCAATCGCGATACGAGTGGATCGACATACGACTTCTGCTGTGGAACCAATTAGACTCTTATCTTGGAGCACCCACTGTACTGTAGTCGTTAAAATCACAGAGTGTTTGGGTTGACGACATCCGTCGTAGAAGTTTCCGACTCACCCTTAGACTCTTGTTTAATTCACAGTTGAAAAAAAAAATGAAGTAAATAAAAGACTGACTAAACTGGCTAATGGGGATTCACAGGGCTGTTAATGATCTGAAGTGATTTAAGTCCCACGACCCGCCTTCTCTGTCAGACTGAGTCAGTCTGAATACTAAACACCTGAGTAGATAAAACGACTGAAGCAACACAGTGGGAGAACTGTGTGTGTGTGTGTGTGTGTCTGCGTATTAATGACCTGTGTGTGTGTGTGCGGGAGAGAACATAACAAAAGTAATTAGCAGCTCAAACAGCAGTGCATGTGAACACACAGCGGCTCTGATTGGTTTAATGCTGACTGACAGACTCTAAGCTGCTTTTCAGTACCTTGTCCTTCAGTCTCCTCCTCAGCCGCTCCTTTGAAGACTGCAGTAAACTGACTCGGGGCTGCTCGCCCGCTTCTCTGCCTCCCGCTGGTTTGGGAGACTCCTTATTAAAGGGGAAAGTATTTGTGACGGCTGTTGACTCAGTCACTGGTGATTCATAAAGACTCTTACTGGTCCAGTCCGACGGTGGTCGGATTTGTTGCTCGCTTGTTTTTACATTCTCCGTCTCTTTGTCTTTGGTCGTTCTCGCGGGCGCTCCTTTATCGCCCGCAGAGTGTGTCTGTCCTTGACCTTGGCCTTGACCTTTCTGATTGTGGTGCCAACGCCTGTTCTGGCTGTATGCATAGTGCGGGCCTCCTCCCTGCCGCTGGCCGTGTCCTCCTTGGTAATGGCGCGGCGGCCGGTCAGAACTGTTGTTTCTGTTATCGCCCACTTCTGTCAGATTCGGCTGCTGCTGGTTTGGAGATTGCTGCTGCTGCTGCGTTTGATCTCTTTTCTGCTGCGGTGACTGCTGCTGATTCTGCTGAGGCTGGTTCTTCCCCCCTCCTCCTCCTCCTCCTCCTCCTCCTCCTCCTCCTTGAGACCGCTGCTGTCTCCTGGAATGAGAGCAGTTTTCACAGTTAGCATCTCTGCTAAGCGTCCCTCCTGAGCATCCCTCTTCTGTCACTGCACCTTGAGCTAATTTCTCCTAAACCTCTTATCTGGACACAGCAACTGACCAGTGCTGTTTGTTAATATAATGGACACAACATTTAACGCGCTGCATTTCGCTTACATGTGGATTCCCAGAGTGTCTCCGTGTCTCCGTGTCCTGCGCAGCTTCCCTTTCTGCTGCACTGGCTCTGGGCTCGACAAGTCGCTGACATATGGTCAACAGGATTATTAATGCATCGCGGAGGCAAAAGATTATCTGCCTGTGCCTGCCGGAAGCTCAACAATCAGAAACTCGCCCACTGCCGTTATTAAAAAAAAACCAAAAAAAAAATGTAAATTAATATAACTTCTCCACACTTTACAGAGTGTGTATGACTGGATTTTATCTGAAAGAAAAAAAATGAGGCCTATCCCAGGGGTGTCGAAATAATTTTTGAACAATCATCACATAATTACCTACAAATAATAACAAGCCCATGTTTTTAACCTTTTTTCATGCAAAGAATCAGATTCATCAAATTCAACGATATATAAGTTTACAAAACATCTTGTTTTTGTATTTTTTTTTTAAATGTATCAAGTGGGGTGGAATGAACCCTCTAGTGGACAGGTTTGGTCCACGGGCCGTATGTTTGACACCCCCTGAGATAGCCTATGTTGCACCACAACTGTTCCATGACTGTCCAGGTGGTGTTTTTATAAAACTAAAATGCATATTATTTTGCATGACCTCGCAGCGAACAAGGTCACTGCAAAAAATGATTTTGATTTGCCATCGGGCAAATATAAAAGTGGAAACAATGAAACAAGGTCAGAAGAAAACAAAAGCACAGTAACGTCTAGTTCATAAAACCTGATGGGAGGTTTGATTGACAGGTGGAGAAAGGCATCGTCGTCATCCTTCACAAAAACCTGCTTTCACTTTTTAATCAGACCAACTTTTAACTTTCCAATGAGAATTCATGAGGGAAATGAACATGACTTTTCGAAGGCTACAAAACAATGTGATGAACTTTTTCATTTTATTAAAAAGATTAAAAAGTAGCTTTTCTCAACGTAATTTCAACATCATCGCTCATTTTATCTCGAATTGTTGATGAGTAAAAAACCTTGAATTATTTTTTTGTCAAAGTCAGTAAAACATTGGTTTGAGTTCAAAGAAACTCAGGACAGATGAGTTAATGCTGAATAAAAGACATGTTTCTGTTCAATGGACATGTCTGTACTTTAATATTATAAGGACAGGAAATTTATCATTTATTGATTCTGGTTCTGGAATTGATCCTCTTATCGACTCTTACTGAGTTTGGAAATAAAATGTAGAAAAAGTAGGTTTGACATTTGATCAAAACTGCATGAAAATATTCACATGTTAACCTTAGCAACAACAACAACCAAAAAAAAAAACACCTGCAATTATCACCTAAACATTTATTTTAATAAGGAGGTGTAAAAGGAACCTGAGGCAGCCTCTGAGTCAGACCGGATAAATTAGGCCACGGTGTTTTTTCATGAAAATTCAACCACTTCTGCCTCAACGCCATGTTGTAAACACTCTACCAACAACCAGACCAGAAGAGTCAGACCATCGGGAGTCGGTTCTCTACAAGAACAGTAAACAATCGTTCAACAACCAGACCAGAAGAGTCAAACCATCGGGAGTCGGTTCTCTACAAGAACCGGTTCTTCATTACTACCTTAATCCCTACCTATTAATCACTGTGTACTAATGACACCATGAAAGCACCTGACGCTACTCTGGAATTAAACCCACAACCTTTCGACTGAAGTGGACTGATGTACAGCAGGTTCAACTGAAGCGTCAACAGTTTTACTGACTTTTAACAGATGTCTTTTTTAACCACCCTGTTTCGTCTTTTAGTCTTTTAATAGGATAATTACAAACAGTAATAATAATCACCTGTACTAATTAGCAGTTAATTACAGCTGGCAGCTGTGAAAAAGTCTCTGAAACCGCCCCCTACAGTCTACATAGTGTACTACATAGTGGGCACCCCATTTTCGTACTGGTGTAGTGGGTAGAAGGAGTCCACTGTAAAGGGCACTCAATGTATCCCACAATTCACCACCAAATCTAGTGGAAAACCAATGGCCACTACCCAAGCAATTTATCCCATCATGCACTGCAGTTTGCGACACCATGTAACTGTAATGGTGTAATTAACTGCGCGTTGTGTCCGACACCGTTTTTTCATTTATCCAGTCGACTCTATAGTGAGCTATATACAGTATAACTCCATGTATGAGGAGTGATTTAGGACACGACCTCGAAAATCGCCAGAAATTTGTGATGTCAAAATGGGGTCAAAGGTCAGAAAGGTTTGTGAGCCACTGATTTAGCTCGACTTCTCACTTTTAGAGTCACTCTCAGTCAATCTTTTAATTCCAAATAACTTTTGAACTTTTGGAATCGCATTATTTTGGCAGTAATTACCAGTGACTTTTTCAGTTAAAAATATTTAAAAATGTGGCATAAACAAACTCGAGGTTTGGGTTCATCGTTGGTCAGCATCCATCACAGCCGGTGAGCTCACCACTGACCACAATCATTGTCAGAGGTTTGATTGTTCAGTGAGGCTTTTGTAATCTCCGGTGTAGCCACAGAGGAGGAATATAACACCTCCCCCCCCCCTCGTCTTCCTCACCCTGCAACAGGCAGGTTCATTCATGGGAAGATTAATTTGCTCTCTGCAGTAGCTGTTAGTTTAGGATCGGCTCTAATCAGACCTCCTTACTGCTGATGCAAAGAGGTGAAAGTGAGACAGTAATAAAATGTTCATCATATTTAATGACTGCTCTGCAGCAGCTTGAGTGTTGTTCAGATTGACCATATATCAGTCACATTAGTGCCAGGGAGATGTTTGCGTTGAGGATAAATGATGAGGCCAGTGGCGGAATTTCATCTCTTAATATCTTGTTACTGAAAAAGATCATGTCTGGGCCGATCGACTGTCCAATTTAATGAGAAGACCTTTCTCTTTTGGATGAGATGACAGCTCGGAGCTGAAGATTGTTTATATTCATGTCCTGCGTGTTGCCCCGAACTGTCAGCTGCAACAGAGACGGAAATAAAACAACGCTGTTTTTCTATGGCTCTCATCCATCAGCAGTTACTCTTCACTACTGACAGTCGTCCTACTGACAGTCGACCTACCGACAGTCGACCTACTGACAGTCGACCTACTGACAGTCGTACTACTGACAGTCGTCCTACTGACAGTCGACCTACCGACAGTCGACCTACTGACAGTCGACCTACTGACAGTCGTCCTACTGACAGTCGTCCTACAGACAGTCGACCTACCGACAGTCGACCTACTGACAGTCGTCCTACTGACAGTCGTCCTACAGACAGTCGACCTACTGTCGACAACACTACAGGATTATCAACTAGGAGGAAGTTACACTAGTCTGTACATTTACTTGAGTTTCTTTTTTTTAACAGATAATAAAGCTGCAGTTTATATTCAAATTTTACAAACCCTAAATATAAAAAAAAAAATTCCATCGTGCAGCTTAAACTCATTATCGTTGTTGCAGAGATCTGGTCAATCTCTATCGTCCTTATTAAGGGGGCGTGGCTTATACACTGTGCGCCTTAATTTCCGTGAAATACAGAAGTAAAATAATTCCAACAAACACAGGAACAGGAACAGATAAAAGTCACAACCCTCTGTTCTTTCTCTCTGGTGGTTCAGTGTTGTTTCCCGCTCTGAGTTACTGCCTCACCGTGGCTGTGTTTACTGTCCATGTTGCTCTAACACCGCGGTCACTTTTGTCACTAACCTGGCTGAGACTTTCCGCTTCCCCCCGGGGCCGGTTGGCAGGAGAACGGTTAACTGGTCGTGGGTGAACTGATCAATGGCTCTATATGCAGGAGAGGAGGGGCAGGCCACAGCGGAGGTGATTGGAAAGACAACAGGACGGAGGACGGAGGGATAGTCAATTTGAAAAACAGCAGGATGTTTTGGCAGGAGAGACGGTTTGAAGAAGAATTTAAGAGGAAGCACAGCAAAGCAGGGAACAAACAAACAAACAAACAAAAAAAAAACTACAGGTTCATCACTATGTCAATCAAACAACATGCACAGAACAACAAGAAACAACCGTAGGTGGAATGAATGATCAGAGATGGTCACAGGACGACGGAGACGCTGACGATCGATCGCGGCCGCTGTTGTGTTAAGTGTATGTAGATGTAGAACTCATAGATCCACTGGACCATGGGTTGACCCAGACTACAGAATCAAGGGGGGGGGGGGGGGGGTGGAGCCTGCAGTCTGGACAGTCAATAACACAGACCACACAGGACTGGTTAAATGGACTGTGGAGACATTAGAACTGCATGACTGGACACTTTTTTTTTTCTTTGATTTTTTTTGGGTGTAAAAAAACAAACAAACAAGTGCCTGAAAACAGTGAGCGTTTGTGCAGACATGCGTGAAGATTACAGTCGTCCCGACCTGGAGGTCCAGGCTGGAGATCAAACAGGTTACAGTAGAGGCAGAGACAGACGTAGACCTGAGGTCAGATGTAACAGCATTTCTCTCCTGTGAACCGGCTTTTAAAAAATACATATGCAGCAAGAAGTGAGGCCTGAGACACACACACACACACACACACAGGCTGCAGGGTTATTACAGCCAAAGGAGCTGAGGTCAGAAAGAGCAACGTGCTACTGACGATAGAGGTTTTGCAGTCGCTGCACATATGTGGGTAAGTCAAAAAGTTCTGGGGAAATTTAAAGGGAAAAAACTTTTTTAAAAAATTAAAAAGCCGTTATGAATTTTAGTCAGGTGCAGAAACGCACATTAGTTTCAACAATTATATTTTTGGTTATTTGTGGATGAGTGTGAAATGTGCATTTTAAGCAGATCTGAATGAATCAATGAATGTAAAATTATCAAGTTAGCAAAAAGAACAAACACAGACAGAGGAACCTTGAGATACGAGCATAATCCGTTCCAGGACAGAGCTCGTAACTCGAGGTGCTCGTATCTCGAATCACGTTTTCCCATAAGAAATAACAGAAAAAAAAGCATGCAAAACATGTTGTTAATTGTTATGGAGACATACACACAAAAAATGATCCGTCTGTCTGTAAGCGTGCTGGTGTCTCGAGTCTTTACTCGTATCTCGAAGCTTGCTCGACGGCTTGCCGAGGTTCAACTGTAACTCATTGTTGCCTAGAAAAGTAGTAGGCTTAAAAAATGTGGAAAAAAAGCTACAAGTTAGCATAAATAGCCAAAAGAAAAAGCATAGATATTAACTTTGAAAAGTTAGAGATACACTGTTTGAATGTACCACGGTGGCGCTGTCGGTTCAGTAACAGTCGTAGGTACACTGCTGTAGCCTGATTGGTCGCTCTTCTCTTCTCTTCTGTTGTGCGCAATAAATTGTGTTCCTCTAAATGGGATTTTTTACATAAAAATGTAAAAAGAGACCAAGATAGAATGTAGTGTCATTTCCTGGGCTTCGTACAGACTCAGTTCTAAGGAGATGGAGCAGCGGTAGAATCTGTGTCGGGACGAGGGTCTGATGTGAAACTGGGTCAAACTGCGGTTTAGAAAAGGTCACACTCGCATCTGCCACCACGGAGGCAACTGCAAATGAAAAAAACTCTCAAAACATTTTGTCAATCAAGGTTTTCATTAATTGCTGACCATTTTTTAAAAAAAAGTCAAACCAAGTGTACATTATTTCCTTCCTTTCGTCTTTCTTGTTTGGGAGCAGAACGCAGTCAGCAGCACATTCCAGTAAATCACAACTAATTTCAGCTCTGCTTGACGTGCCTACTAAAGTAGAAACACATGCACTACCTCCCCTTTCTTTTCCTCCCTGCCACAGCCTGCCTACACTTCTTCTTCTCCTCTGTCTCACGTCTCTCCCTACTTTTCTTTCTCCCTTTTTGGTTCGTAAACCGCTTCATGCTGTATTTCACCCTGTGCTCGCAGCGACGTCTCCCAAACAACCAGATGAGACTGAACAAGAAAAATGTAAAGATTCTCTCTGACATGGACGCAGGTCGCCTCCAGCTGTTGGTTGTTTTCCATCTCAGAACCTGAAGGCAGGAAAAGGAAATCGTCCTGAGAGGATTACACTGTTTTACAGACGAACCTATGACAGTGACGTGTTTGATTAGCAAACATGCTAAGCTGCAGTTGAATGACAGCAGTTGGACGGCTGATACCAGCCTTCTTTCAAGTTCCATTTCCAGGCGGTTTTAAAAGTAGCGCTGGTACAGTAGAGTAGCGTTCATAATGAAGTACTCACTGGATGGATGAATATTTTAACAAGGCGACAGATGGACTGAAGGCAGTGTTGTTTTAAACGACAGAGCTCTGTTCAACTTGCTGGTCTGTCGTTGTGTTGCTCACTGTAAAGGGCAGATTACAGAGGGATTCCTAGAAGCAACCTGATGAATGACTAAGCCGTTTGAAAACAGTCCACTGATGTACAGTACGTTACAGTGGTGATGATGACGCCTCGTCTCATCTCATCTCATCTCCCTGTTCTGTGTATTCCTACTTTCTCCAGCGCTTGAAGTCGAGCAGCTCCACGTTAGAGGTCTGGACTAACGGAAAAAGCTAACATTGCGTTAAATTACAGCCGTGACATGGAATTACTAATCTGCATATGATCACCGGAGCTTTTACTGATGCATTTTGGCTTTGTTAAATTTATTAGATTAATACCCTTTTTTAGGGTCAAAGGTTGTTGGTATGAGACGTCGGGCTTCACCCAGGACAGACCAACCATCATTTAGAGCAGGGGCGTCCAAACTGTTCCATCAAGGGCTGCTGTGGCTGCAGGTTTTTTGTTCCAACCAATCAGTAGCACACCTGAGTTGACAGGTTTAATCAACTGGTCTCAGTCTTCAGACAGCTGATTGGTCCAACTATGTGCTCTTGGTTGGTTGGAACAGAAACCTGCAGCCACACGGCCCTTTGAGGAACAGTTTGGGTATGCCTGATTTAGAGGGGAACACATTGAGGAACCTCATACCTGGAACCTCAACTGGAGTGACAATTGACTTCATCTCGCAAGTCTTTGGTGGGAGGAAACCTAATCACACACATGAGAGAACAGCCATGGCCAAACCCTTTCTGCAGCACCCCACTTTGTTGGTAAATAGGACGGGTAGTTTAGTAGGAACACGCCGACACATACACAGTTACTGCATCCAAACTCTGATGAAGCAAAACTGCTTTTCTCATTAGACGAAGGAATGCAGTTCAAGATGAATCCATCTCAACCTGTAAATTGAAATGCTGCTCTAATTGTAAGACAAGAACATTAACCACTCCTCCACCCTGTCATCAGGGTTATTATATACCTTTCTATTGTTACCGCCACAGTAATTTGGAGCGGGTTAAGGATGACGTCAATCACAGTTTAAACCAGGAAACAAAAAACAGGATGAACTCCTAAAAGTGTTTCCAGTTCATAAAACAAACAGACTCAAACTTGAGATAACAAACTGTTGGTCCAAGTTTTTAATTCTCTTCTTTCCTCTTCTGACCTGCACGACACCGCACTGCACCAACCGCTGCACACAAAAACACCACTCTGGGCTGGAGCAATTATTTTCTGTTCTTTAAAACAGGGATGAAAGTGCTCTTATCCAGCTTTTTTGTGTGTGGCTAAAATCTTCTCTTTTTAACCACAAATAAAACCCAAATATTTTCTCTGAGCCTGTCTCTTAGCAACTGAGGAACAGTTTTCCAATGACATCAGGGAATGTGAGCGCCAGAGAGAGATTTTTTTTCTCTCTTTAAAGGACTTGTTTTCAATGAGGTCAGACTTGGGTGAAATTAAAATGGAAGAGTTACTGCTGGGCACTGACCACAGTGGGCAGTTTTTTCAGTCCTTGCTGCATTTAAGTATAGATTTGTGGCTCAGTAAACAATATTAACCACTGAAATAACTACACATCGGAGAAACACTGATTGGTCAAATAAAAAGTATTTTTTGATTTAAATACTGTTGCTGGGAGAGACGTGGAGAGAGCTGTGTGTTCAACATGTTATCAGATTGACCTCCGGCCAAACAAGTGATGTTAGTGGTTTGATACACAAACACAGACACAAACATCTACAGATGTCTTTGTTCCAAACCAACGTAGTCAAATGCAGGGTTTCACTCAAATGTAGTTCAAACCATTTATCGTATGTAGAAACGGGATACAACTAGTCACAGCCGCTAGTTACTCTAGAAGACAGAACGTCTCCTTTCAAGAATACTTTTAATTTTAAAGGTTTTTTTATCTCATAATTTTTTTTTTACTCTGGATGTAGATTTTTTTTTTTCTTCCGGCACAGAGAAATACATGATTAAAAACAAGGGAGACTGCTAAAATGATCTGTTAGCTAGTTAGCCTAATGTAGCATATTTATCATTCTGTAAGTTATATATGTTGTGTACATTTAAATTGATTTACAAAAGAGCTGATGCATTTGATGAATGACAATAACACTGGTTCACGTTTATTACTAACAATACTAATAATCTAATGCCCAACAGGCAGTTAGCTTTCTGCTAACTACAGTTAGCAAGCGATTATGCTAATTGACTGATCTGTAGTTCTGTATTTGTTGTAAATAATGTACAACTGAATCAGTTCACACATGAGATTCACTCTGTACTTGGTGTTAATAATGATATTTGAGGACAGACAAGGGTTCTGTTTTTAGCACGGTTTCTGTGACTCACAGAAGAAGAAGAAGAGAATCCATGTGGCAACGGCTTCATTTGTTCCGCTTGGCTATAATTTACATTGAACTAATAAATCCTGAGAGTCTGGTTTTAATGTGACTGGCATCAAAGTTAGGCTTTGACAGAAGACAATTTTTTTTTGCAACCCACACAGGCTGCCACCTGAGGCACCATCGAGTATGTGGTACCTTCTGCGTGTAAGGCAGATGTGATGACCGCTACACTATGGAACCAATGGAGTGTTTTTTCTGAAAAGTTTTGGTTGCGAGTGTTAAAAAGTTCCACATTCACTGTCTGGGTTTCTCTTCTAATCTTCTGTAGAGACGAGAGAAAAATCATTTCTTCCTCCTCCTGTCGCGCTGGTGCCAGCAGACCCAATGCAGTACGCCACTCAGCAATGTAATTTTGGAAACAGATACTGCATTGTCGTCACAAATATCCAAGGTGTCATTATAATTTGGCATCATTTTTTTTCCATGTTCGAGACAGTGAGTTGGCACCAACTTTATTTTATTAGGTCATATGTCTGGAAGCAAATCTGCGGGTGGAGGAGATAACGGTGGCCTCCTCGTGATTCAGGGTCTGCTTCCGTTTTGGCTGACTGAGGCAGTGTTTCATAATCGTTGTTGGTGTTACCAAGGCACGCTGCCATGTCGCGTTATAACAGCACCGTGAAAGTTGATACGCAGTCCGACAGGTAAATGACTACAGCATCTAAACAAAGGTAGAACATTCTCCCAAGGTCAGAGGAACAGGAGTTTGGGTTTCCCCGTCAAGTTCACGCGTACTTTTCCAATATCATATAAAATTCACCTTTTTTTTTTAAACTTTTCTCTTCTATAAAAAGTGAAAGAAATTTAAAAAAAACATTCAGTGTCTCCTCTGTGTTTTTTTCCTGTCTGCACAGAAGTATGAAGCCTGCATTCCTGTCCTGACGCTGCTCAGGCTGGAGACAGACTTTAGGGTTACAGGACTGGCTGCTGCGCTGACATCTAACATCAAACACTAAAAAAAAAAAAAAACCCATCGCCTCTCACTGAGTTCTGTGAGTGTGCGTATGTGTGTGTGTGTGTGTTGGAGCGTGCATGCGTCATTACCGTCGGTCATTTCTCCTGCGTCGGGAGAGCTTTTTGGTGTGTGCGATCTCAGCCTCGTTAGGAAGTGGTGGGAAGACCTGTAAGAGACAAATCACGGTGTAAGAGACAGCTGCTGACAGGACCTGGAATTTATATCAACACGGGCCGTATCTGCAGATGATTCCATTTAAAGTGCTCTGTAACATGAAAACCTATTCACAAACAGAACATATAAATTAAACAGAAAAAAAGAACGTACCAAGATATTTTGCTAAGCCCGCCCTGAACAACGGAATGTGATACAAATCAGTGAATCACTGTGAATAATTTTAGCAAAAATGTATTTGTGTTCTATGCATACCTAATTTGTAAAATATAATAAAATTTGGCGTCAGATTTACATATGTACGATGATGTAATAATCGTGTAACGTAGGTTGTAGCATCTACAATGAAAGAATGAAGCAGCTATCGTCCTATCGCCCCCTATCTGTGGATCATCTAAACTACGTCTAAAGGAAACAGTATTCAGACGTGTTGTTAATTCATTACCATAGCCACACTGTCATACTGGTGTTGGAGGTGTACAGCCCCACACACTGGCTAACAAACATGGCCTCCGTGTGTCATGTGTCACCTGCTGACTGACCTGTGTTACACAGAGACATCAGTTTGATTTTTTTGTTTTTGCCGTTTTGCGTGACATTGAGAACACAGCCTTTCTGACACCATATTAATATTACATGTGTTGTCTATCAATACATGTATTGATCTCCACATCTGTCTGCCGTGCAGCTGATGCCGCTCCTCTTCACTGCCACTAATGCTGCTGTACAGCCAGTCTTCTCCGATGACAACTGATATGCATTTGTTGTAGAGCATTATCGACAACTGGGCAGTTTCTAAGAGCTGGACTGAAGTGTGTCACGTCATGTCCTGGTGGTGGCGCTCTCTGCAGCTCAATGGGAGGAGGAGGATTCACTGTACAGTAAACAACTGTCCTGTCAGTTAAAGGATCCCTGCTCCTATACAGTACACACATATATAGTATAAGTACATATATACACAATTTATATATACATATATACACATACAACATGCCTGTGTATAAATACATACACACGTATATGAATATGTATGTACACATGTGTTTTTGTATAAGTACATGTAGAGCATATATGTATGCATATATGTGTAAATACATACACACATATACGTATATTAATATATATCAGATATATACATTTATATTGTATACATGTATTAATATATATACATATATTAACATATAACATATATAAATATATGTATACATATACACACATACATATACAGACCTGCTGATACAGTATAGCATATGTATATATGTATGTATGTATATATGTATACATATAATGTATATATATACACACACATATATGTATATATGTATATATATACATATATGTATATATATATATATACATATATATACATATACACATATATACACATATGTATATATACACACACACAAACATATATATATATATATATATATAACCCTCATCTATTGGTTGTTCTGTCTGAACCGTTACTTGGAACCAAAACTGCAGAACTCATCGGTACCATGGCTTCTCCTTTTGTTCACTCTGTTCCAGGCACAGGGTTCTTATTCTGTTGTGACTTTTCTGACTTGTTCCCCCCCCCCCCATTTTGGTTCCCTGTAGTTTTCTTGGTGTGGGCGACCTCTAGCTGAAGTCTTGTATGAAGTTTTCCTTTCCATCACACAGTAAGGACACTGTCACACCAGTGTTTAGGGGTTTGATCCACCAAGAGAGCAGAGCATTTACAGAGCGACGTACAGTAGATATTCAAATGAGGCTGAGACGGCCTGATATTTGACACCCCCCCCCCTCCACACAGAGGCTGCTGGGAGATTGTTGGGTTTTAAATGAATCCAGATGTGAGGGTTAGAGTGTGTGTGTGTGTGTGTGTGTGTATACACATTAGTCTACGCGATGCTAACAAAAAAAAAGAGGCAGAAACATATGTACAGAAACATGTCCATGACATCAAGGACTTGGGCAAATGCCTCGATGCTTCATACACAAAAGCGAAGGTGTTAAAGAGAATAAGAATGTGTGTGTTTGTGTTTGTGTGTTTGTGTGTGTGTGATCTAAGCTAACGGTATGAGAATCTGACAGGGAGGAAAAAGAGAGCGACTGCTGCATGTTTAGCTACTGTAGTTTTCCTCTAGGATATCATTAGCTGTAATTCTAACCTCAAATGGTATCCAGATGAGTGTACACACACACACACACACACACACACACTCTTTTACCAAAGAAAACCATTCTGCTTAGTGATGGTGTTTTTCCATTGCTAATAAACAATGCATTAAAAAAAAAGTAAAAGTAACGTTTGACAGAATTCTTCACATTCTTTCTCCTGCGTGTTTGTGCTCACACTTCATGATGAATCCAACAGAAACACAGAGACAGGAAGCACGAGATGATGTGCTTGTCTCTCTCTCTTTCTCTCTCAGGGTGGGTGTATGTGTGTGTGTGTGTGTGGGGTGGGTGTGTGTGTGGATGTGTGTGTGTTTGTGCACACACTATCTGCAGGTAGCAGCCAGTGCTGTGCAGATCAAAGAGACAGAGACAGAAGACCTCTCACCTTGAGAGAGTCAGTACTGGTGCTGTGGACGTGACCAGGCTGGTGAGGGAGGAGAGAGAGAGAGAGGAGGAGAGGCCGAGTGAGTGAGCGGAGGTGGGAGGGAGAGAGAGAGAGAGAGAGAGAGAGGAGGAGGTCTGCGTGTGTGTGTAAGTTCATGATTGTGTTGTTGGGGAACGAGCTTGGCTGTTATTGATGAGTTAGGAATTATTTTAAGGTAAATGACAACGACATGACAAAAAAGTTTTCAAACTCAATTTTCCCCCTGAGTCTGAACTCACATTCTGTACATAAACACCTGTCACTCCCCTCATACTTGAGATATTTTTTCAGGGTCAGACTCACTGCTGCAGGATCTCAAACAGGTGCAGCTCCTCTATCATCTGATTGTATCTCCACCTGCAGACTGAGGCTACACCTCACCTGGTATTTGTCAGGTTAATGTTTTATTGGTCTAATTGCACCATGTGCATTGTTCCATGTTGACAGCATGTCTGCCTTCACAGGGAGTTGACATTCCCTGAGGTATTCCTAGGAATGCTGCAGGTCAATGAGATACAATACTTGTATTCAGTATCTCTTTATGTACTGTATGATAATTAAAGAAAATCATGTTGTATAATAAGGGTGAGCACGACCCAGATATGGAAATATGAGGAAGAGAAGAAAAAAAAAAGTAACAATTACTGACAATTATTGAACTTTCCCTTCAGTAGCCTGGAGAGGGAAGTTGGCTTCATCCTGTCCCTTTTTACTGCTCAACAATTCTGGTATGATACTTGTTCAGTCAGTCCATTGTTTCTCTCGGCTTATTTATGTTGCGAGGGCCCTTCGCCAAAAGCAATAAATTTAAAACGGCCCCATGGGTGGCATTACAGGACAGGTTGTTGAGAGCGGAGGTGAGAGGGAGCAACTATGACAACAAGGGAGACTGTAAATACGAGATACAAGGAGCACATAAAAGGCAGAGAAACCAGACGGTTGGCCACATTATGAACCTGACAGAGGAATGACTTTTACTTTGTCCACGTGGTCGTCACCGCTTTATACTGTCGAATGTACTTCATAAATTACACGCAGGTACAATTGAATATATATGTTTGACCGTAAACGTGACGTCATTATTGAATATAAAAAGTAGAAAATGAAAAGTCCTTCGTGTCTGCTTACAAGAAAGAGAAAAAAAACAAATTGTTGACTTCAATTTCTTCTTCTTCTTCTGCTTAAAATTTAAACTTGACAGGGTTCAAAAGATGATTAAGTTCATGGTTTTATTGATCATAGGTATGAATATGGGTGTGAAAGGTTGTTGTCTCAATATGTGGCCCCTGCAGTTGGCTGGAGGAGTGTCCAGGGTGTACACCAGACTGGCCCTTTAGCTGCTGGGATTGGCTCGTCGTGTTGGCTCGTCCCGGTGACTAATCATTTTTTCAGTCCTTTTGATTTTGAACTCTATTTTTCATTCAAATACAGTATTTGTTTTTACATAATACTATGGAAGAAGTGGACAAATCCTGAAGCCTAGTTCTGGTTTCAAGAACGGGGAAGAATAGTGGTTGATGAACAGCGTTAATTTTGTCGACTTGTCAAAGACTTAGTCGACAGGAAACTAGATGTAAAAAATAACAGGAACTCTATATGGAATGTATACATTCATTGATTGGTTAGTTAGATATTAAACCAGAAGAAAAAAATCCTGTCGAGAATGAAGGCTGAAGCCCGAATCGACGCCGTGGATGAACACTGTCACTGTTGCAGCCGCGAAGAAGTCAACTTCTGACGGTGTGTGGAAACATCACTCACACTCCTGAGTCACTCAGCTTCACATTTCCATCCTGAAAACCCAATAATGAGCTTGATGTTCCTCCGTGGAACCTCCGCTGGTGCCACAGACCAGCAGCACAAACATGAAGAGAGGCGACGCTGCCACCGGCAGGTAGAGCAGCTGACGGGTGATAAGAGGCAACGGAGATGAGGTCCTGACATCCATGTCTCATTTAATAAGTGTTCCGAGGCCGGAGCCACAGTGGAGCAGAGATGGATGGGAACATCAAAGAAATTTACAGGAGGAAATGGAATCACTGTTGGAACAGCGTATCAAAGAGGAGGTGGTCCCCTATGGAAATATAACCACGCTACAACCAGGGGCGCTGCTGTAGGTTTCACACCCTCGCAGCTCGGCTCTGACGTCGCTCTGAATTATGACAGGAAGAAGAAGAACTTCAATCATCTGTGCTCTCTGGGTTTCATCGTGCTAACAGCCACCTCACCTCCTCCAGGGGTTCCCACGCGGGGCTTTGTGTTTGCATATGTGGTCTGGTTTGCATTTCATCTGCCAAGACCCTCGGAGAGAACGGAGCGGCTGCTGCCTCCGGATGTGCTATTACAGTCTTTTAACTACAGGCTGACAACTCAGGCGGGAGTCACAGGCGCAGAAGCCGAGGCCAGAAAATGGATCTGATCATGAAACGATCGCCATTAATATGCCTGGCATGTGAGAAAGTATAAACAACAAAAAACTTTTAGAGAGATGCTATCGTAGCGATCGGCAACAAGGAATACAGTGTTCTGCCCAGAGGCACTCTGGCAAGAGGCTGGACTTGAACCTGCGTCTCCTGGTGAAGACAAACGTGAGGGTAATTAAATGAATGACTCCAGCGGCGTTGAGGGTTGATAGAGTGCAGGAGCTGAGCGGCAGTAGGAGCAGGGACAATGGCAGGAAGAGACAACAGGGAGGGGGCCGCCGGTCGCCGTGACCCCCGCGATATTGTTCTGCTGCCCACCGACGTTTGAAGGATGGAAGGGAGGAGTGAAGGACACGAGGAGAGCAGGGAGCGGGACAGAACGCAACGATGGCGGTGGGAAGAGAACAGGAAAAAGGAAACAGCAAATAGGAAGAAGCGAAACGGCGACAAGTCTCGGAGAAGACGTGAGAGTGGAGCGGAGTGGAGTTCGAGGACGGGCAAGATTCACGAGGATGAGTAAAAGTGGGCGAATAAACAGTGTGGCTGGAACACGCCGGCTTCAGTGAGAACTGACAGCTGATAGACAAACCACCAAAATGACCCACTCCCCCCCTCCTCACCCCCCCTCCTCCTCCCCCACATCCCCCTCTGGCTGATATCAACTGAAGTCCTGCGCTGCGGCACGTAGACTTCCAGACAGAGGGGCCGAACAGTCTGTAGGACCGCCGCTTTGTCCACAGCACGGACCAGACCGGACGTCTCCTCTGTGACTCACCACTTTCTCCCACTCCCTCTCTCAGGTCTCACCCCGGCCCGCAGTTCTGGTGCCATCCAATTTTAAATCAGCTGCTTGTGTAATTGTCTGGCGTCTTGTCTGGCAGATTTGATCTTGAGAAAATCTTTACACCCACGGAATTGTTCAGTTGACTCAAAAGAAATATCTTGCCGTTTGAGTCACAGTAGTGGGAAAAAAAAATCAGAATCTTTTTAATAAGATTTCTTTTCAAATGTTTTTTTGTGTGAAACATTTCCACTTGAACTATGGGTGGTATTTGGCATGGATCCACGCACGGACTCTTTGCTCTCTGACCTCTGACCTGTCATCCTAACCTGACGGTGGACGTGAGACTGTGGTCATTGTGCAGGTTGACATTCCAGGGAGGCCGGTAGAGGTGCAGCAGGGTGTGAGGGCCAGAGGAGGAAGCCCATTCTCACCGTGCCGTTCACACACCCACACACAGACGACATGTTTTCCACATCCCAGGGCTATTTGTAAACCTATTCTGGCTCCTGGAAAAGGAAGTGTGGACTGAGGTCCTGCTGTACAGTAGCTGGAGCTGGTGGTCGGGGAACAGAGATGGACTATTGTTGCTTGGTTACAACGACGATGATTAAAGAGCGGCTGGAATCAGATGACTGATATCAACCATGATGAACCAGAATTATGTTATTTTAATACTAAAAAGTTAATTTATAAAGAACAGAACGAACCGGAGGACGTTTGGAGGACACTGTGATATTACAAGGATAAGATTAAATTATTGAATGGAAATAAATTAACTAATGCAGTAGTAGTGAGGTGGGCGCAGTGAGAATATGGCACTGCTCTAATGCTTGAATGATAACAAGCCTACAGTCACTAGGTGGCAGCAACTCACACAGTGGTTTGGACAGATACAAATATATACATGTTATCAGTTTCTCAATAGTATTTCAGTTCCGAGAACTGAATTGGATTTACTAGAATATTACGGGACACGTTCAGTACGTCTCAAAAATATCATCTTTACTATGAAAGAGGACTTAACCAGACTGACTCTCAAGGGTCAAAGGTTAAATTGAATCAACAGGTTTTGGCCAATTAAATACAGCACTGTTGTACATAACTGTGACCAGACTAAGGACCAGACAGATGACCACTGTCCCACAGTCGACCGATGAAGTTAACAGCAGTTAATTTGAAAATAGTTCAACTCCTTCAGTAATGGAGGAAACAACAGGGCGTATGTGTGTGTGTGTGTGTGTGTGTGTGTGTGTGTGTGTGTGTCCTGGCATCACTGCTGAATGACTGTGACTGTGATACTCGTGGTACAGACAGAATGTGAGAGTGGAAGTGAAAGAAATCCAGCCAACCCAGTACTTCACTTGGCCCCGTCTGAATGAACGGAAAAGGCAACGTTGGCTCAGGATTTACACAAAGCAGAAGCCATGTTAGCAGCGCGTCGCGGCACGTCTTGGCTGGAGCTGTGTGAGAGACCGAACGCTGCTCTGCTCAGAAGCCAAGAGGGGAAGGAAAGGGGAAGAGACTGGAGCTGAGAAATGAGGAAAGATGGAAGACATCTTGGCTCAGAGAGCAGAGCAGGAAAGAGTAGGGTGACATCGCTGACCTACGGTGAACTCTGCCAACCTGGACAATACAATGGTCATTATCCCCAGGCCTACAATTGTCCACAGCTGCAGAATAAATTTGATTTTGCTGATGACAGACTAATTACATTTGGAGTTAGAGTACATTAAAAAGAGGTCTCTTATGTACTCTACTTTAACCACCTGATACTCGTACAGTAGAAAATGTCCTAACAAGAGTTACCATTCTTTTTTTTAATTTAACTTATCACGATTAAAAATTATTTTCCCTGATAACACTAGTGATTCCAGGACTTTTCACTTTGATAGAATTTCAGCCAACATATTTATTGTTTTAAAATAACCTGCCTGGTGCTTTACTAATTGTTTGCTTAAGAGTAGGACTAGGATTTTATTAGAATTTTAATTTGAATTAGTGGGTAAATGTAATATTATTATTATTGTGGTTTAGTTGTTGTAAAACTTGCAGTTGAGAAATGTTTACAACTTTTATAGATATGCATGTCTCCAGCAGGTGTCATCAAAGGATTTAAAAATAATAATAATCATCATCATGGTTGTTGTTATTACAATTATTATTGTTGTTACAGACGTTATTAAAAAATACTAATAACAATTGTATTATTATTATGAATAGCTAAATTCATTTTTATATATGAATTATATATAATACATATAGATTAATATATATATGATATATAATTTATAGAATAAAATCCTTTTTTTTCAGTTATGTTTCCTATCTCCAGAGCAATCTTCTGAAATCTTTTGCATTTCGGCACCTTTTTGAGACATTTTTCACTTTAACCACAAGAGGTCACTCTTTGACAACAAATTAAAAAAGGGCCTTTGTCTCCCGCTCGTGGTCCGCTCATTGAAACCTTAAATAAAGGCATTTATTTTTAGACAGAAGAACACGGCGTGACTCACGGAGCGCAGATTGGGCAGAAACCTCTCGATGTCGTTCATGTCGATGCCATCGTCTTCTTCGAACATGTTTTTACTCATCCTAACAAAACAAGGTGCGAGAGAGAGATGGAGGGTGAGCACACACGGCAGAGGACAGTACGGCGGTTTATTATGACGTTACATGAACAGAGAGGTGAGGTTCACAGCACATACCCTTCTCTGTCGATGTGTGGCAGATGTTTTAATGCTCCTTTAAAGGGTTTTCTGTGGAAATGACTGAAGTCCAGTTTCTCTGGTTGTATGTCCCAGCCTGCACCGCTGCAACACATGAGGAAAACCAGTTAGCGACACTAACATCACTGCATGAGCAGGGACAAACTTAGGAATAGTTCGAATATATTTTGTGTTTTTTTTTTTTGGTAATGAATGTTGAATAATATATATTCTATGGGTTTTTTTTGTAATGAATGTTGAATAATATATATTCTCTACAAATTATTTCTCTCATTAAATCCCACTTTTTCACCACTGGGTGGTGCTAACTGTCCAGACATCCACAGCTTGAACAGCACAAAATAATCCTCCCAAAAATGCAATCGAAACAGTGGCAGCTAATACAGATTTTTGGTTTTCAATAACACGTTTATTTGATTTAGAAATAAGAATTTCTGTTTAATAACAAACTTTGTCCCAAAACTGAAAAATCCTCCTCCACGTCCACATCATGTATAAAGTGATGACAACTTGTAGCGATTCTTTATCACACCTTTGTGTGTCTGTGAAGCGTGGAGCGTCTGGCTTTCACACACTCTCTGCTGACTCCGTCGCTCTGTGGCCCATATGTCAGCGTGTCCGAAAGTGAGGTAACTGAGGCTGCTGTGTATCTGTTACCATGGCAACCAGACATTTCTGAAACGTTTTGCTCTGTTACTTTCTTTAGTAAAATCCAAAGAAACATCACTGATGCTAGTTGTGTACTGATGACAGATGATAGATGGGTGCAGTTTTCCTGTACTGTACTATACTGCAATAGTACAATGTACTACTTTGAATACACAGTTTGATGATTACTGCTGATACGACGGAATCATAGGAGGTCACAAACGAAAGAACCCAGAGATAGAACTGAAGAGATTCACTGTCTGGTACCGATCCATTTCTGTGCTCGTTGGTTGTTCAAAAATAAGGTAACCTACCCACGTGAGTCCATTGTGTTTGCAGCCCATATGTCTGTGCCCAGGATGTCAAACGATGGATCTCTGTTCCCGTTCTAGACCAAACAACAGAAGAGAAAACTTATTTGTCCAGTATTTTTACAAACAGGCACTGCATTAGAAATACTTGTTTTTAATGAACAGCATTATTAATTTTAAGTCAACGGCAGATACTGCAATGAATAGATCTGAAACTTTAGTTTAGTAACAAAGTTACCGGTTATATTGTTTGACCAGTCTTCATATCAAGACATCTTTGTAAGGATGCATGTGAATTGTCCACAAATGTTTTCCAATAAAAACATATTTATTTCTAATGCAATATGCGATACATGTAATTGAAATGTATTTTTAATGTCACTAATTAGTTAAACAAGTTATTTTTTAAAAAACAATTTGGTAAAAAAAAATGTTAAATTATTAAGTTAAATTATTATTTAAAGTTATTTCTTAAAAAACAATTTGGTAAAAAAAAAAGAAAATATATTATTCAGAAAATTATAGACCTCCAAGTGACGTCTAAGTGACCTCTTTTGAAAAAAATTTTTTTCAACATTTTTGTTTTTAGAATTTTTTTTTTTTTAAATGTTTGAAAAAAACTTTTTTCTAAAAAAAATTTCAAAACCCTATTTTTTATGAAAAACGTGTAAAAACATTTTTTGAATTGTTTTTTAAAAAGATTTTTTTTTAAATGACAAAAAATGACCAAAAATGACAAAAAGTTCACATTTTGAGAAAAAATTGTATACACAAAAATTTCTAAAAATGTTCTCTATAAATGCTCTAATTTAATGAGAAATAAGAAAAATAATTTTACAAAATTGTTCTTCAAACTTTTTTACTTTTTGACCAAAAATGACACAAAAAATGTTTTTCTATGTATTTATTTATTAGCGAAATGCAATACAATAGCATAGCCTAGAAAAAAAAACAGTCTGAATTTTTCTTTTAAATATTGTATGTATATTCTCCTTTTTAAAGGAATTATTCACCATCTTTTTTCATCACTGTCCCAATATAAAATCAGTGTACTGTGATGGTGGTCACTAACGATCAACGATGGGTAACGATCCCACAGGAACAGTACAGTGACGCTGGCAGGAGTCATGTGACTGAAGTGTCTGTTCAGCACTGAGCTGCTGTTTTCCACAAACAAACACTAAATACAAACAAAAGTTTCATATTCACCTTTGTGCAACCTTGGAACTGATTGTTTCTGCCTCTGCTGCCGGAGCGAGAGCCAGACCCTGGTCTGGACCCTGAACTGGGCCGCGAGCCAGTGCTGCCGTCACTGCTGTGTTCCCACTCATCCTGCAAAGATGGGATGGAAATGTTATAAAAAATGTTCTCTTAATCCTCCTCCTGATGCAGTATATATTATCCTGATATTGTTTTGGATTTATGCAATTGAATATATATATATATATACACACACACACACATATATA